GTCTGTGTCTCTATCTATCTATCTCTATCTCCATCGCCACCTCCATCTCCATTTCTTTCTCTCTCTCTCTCTCTCTCTCTCTCTCTATCTCTCTCTCTCTCTCTCTTTTAATACCTGACATAGAATACACATTTCCTACACATTTCTCGTGAGAAGAGCTTGGATCGAATACGAAATTACTCGAGTCTCAGCAAAACCACGTTGGCTCAGTAAATGAAGTTCGGCGCAATTGTTTCGGTGGCCATTTCATTCATAGCCGTGGCAATTTCCGTGAACATCGTATTTGTTTACGTATTTACGGTACTTTTTTAAATATGTTTTATTGTTTATTTGCGTATCATCGTCGAGCATACAGCAGCTAGGCGACTGTATCCTCGTTTGTTTTGTCGCATTATTGATATAACGTTTCGATTAAAGTCGAGTTCCTTGCGCTCTCGCAAACACGACGATGTGTTCTTTTATCAGCAGTGTCGGATGAATAGCATCACCCGACGTGCGTATCAATGAACCAATAATTTTAAGTGATATCAGGAGTAGATAATAGAAGATTCTATTATCTTCTATTATCTACTCCTGGTGATATCTATGTCTTACCATGGGACATATATATTATTGTAAATATCATCAATCAATTTTAGTTTAATACTGCCTGAAGATATCGTGTTTGCAAAATGTATTTTAATTGTAACGTTATAAATACTAGTTTTGCAATAAACCTATTATCAAGAGCGTATAATGAAGCGGCGACCGAAAGCAATACACTTAACTGGCCACAAAGCGAGAGACAGTCGCAGTAAGCACTGATCTCGAGTCGGTTTTCGGCGAAAATACCAGATTTTCACTGCTCATTATCTCAGTGTAGGAGCATCGTAGGGACAAGCGGTTTGTTTTATATTAACAAGGTAGGAGAGCTGATCAATAATAAGGACAACGTTTCTTAATTCGACTAATACTGCAACATGGTTTCACCATTTCACCGTTGTACGCTCTTCTTTATACGCTCTTGCTATTATCTATCTATCTATCTATCTATCTATCTATCTATCTATCTATCTATCTATCTATCTATCTATCTATCTATATATTTATCTATCTATCTATCTATATATCTATCTATCTATCTATTTATCTATCTATCTATCTATCTATATATCTATCTATCTATATATCTATATCTATCTATATATCTATCTATCTATCTATCAAGCGATGCGAGATCAAATGATACCCTAGTCACTGCGCCAGATGATACACTGCGCGCTATTGACTCGTGATCGTTGTAGCGTTCGTTGTTGTACCTTGCGATGTGCGTATGGTTTCCCAGGTTCTGCGAGGCAGGTATCAATGTTCTTGTCACGGATAGCGTGAGAGATTGGAGTGTATTAGCGAGTAGACGATCAGTATCGCACAGTAGATACGAACAAGTAAGTGTGATATAAACGGTCTATATGTTTATTCTAACAAGTAGATATGAAGGTCACTCTACACAGGCTAGATAACTTCCGGGAGCACATGGAAACTTTCCACTAAGATCACGACACGGAAAACTCTCGGCTTTGGAGCGCGCAGGGGGGGGGGGGGGTATATCCCTACTGCGCCACATTCGGGGCGTGTTTTCCTCACTCTCGGGGCGTCATGCGTTTGTCGCTAAGCCAGCGACCGTAAAGTGTGTACGCTATACCATCACTGCTAAATCCGAACGTGGACCAGAAGTAGCAGATTACGTATTTGTTAAAAGTAGCGCGTAGCGCGTAGAGCGATATATTTTAGGGCCCTGACACCATATTTCAGCTAATTGCGTAGGCAATAGCGTAGGACACAACCAATGACCAGCAGCCCTCCGGACACCTGTCAAGGCGCACCACCGCCATCTTGACGCAAGCTAGAAGCGTCCTGCGATCATATTCCTAGTTCTCCCAATGGATGGATGGATGGATGGATGGATGGA